AGAAAAATGAGCGAAGCAACCTTCAGATTTAGAAAGAATGAATCATGCATCGAGTACAGAATGTCTAGCAGCAAAGGAAGGTGAAATAGTGATTCATTACAGATCGCCCCACCGCAGCGACAGAGGAAAGTAAAACCAAATGTACTCAAGTAAAAACGCTGTTACTTTAAAATAGTGTATTATGTAACTTTTCTGGTGGAGGATTTGTCTACATTTTCTGTCTCCATGATGATGTATTGCTTTATGGTGTTAAACTTAACAGTCTCCATGGAAACAAGCAGGAGATACTGGTCAGATCTGTGTTGAGGATGGCCTGCTGACTGTAGATGAGTGACAAAAACACCCATAATTGAATGAATGCAAGACGGATAACTTTTAAATAAGGGAAGCTTGTTGTGTTCGGGGTTCTTCTTCAGCACTGGCAGTGAAGCCCCAGATATATGTCTGTTAATTGGCTATGCTCTGTTAATAAATGAGTGTTCGCACATCAGAGTCTGACTGGATCCTTTCGTGACATCTCACACATATATTTATTCTACTATAATTCGCTCTGGAGAATAAGTCGCACCAGCCAAAAAATGCATAATGAAGAGGAAAAAAACATATGTAAGTTACACTGGACTTACAAATGTATTTGATAAAATTAGAAAACAGGAACCGACATTTCATCTTGAAACGCAGGTTATAATGATAACAATAGAACAGAGAACAACAGACTGTTATCCTAACATTATTATATTATTCAGATAACTATAGCATAAATAACAGAAGAAGTTTAACAAACTCTTGATCACACTCCAAATCACTAAATCTTCTGAATTCTTCATCCTTTATGTCACTTTTGAGCCACTCCATGACCTCCAGAGGTAAACAGAGCCGCTCCCTCTTCTGTGTAGCTGTCGTCAGACTCAGCATCAGTTCAGTTAGAATTATTCTGGCCTTTCTGAATCCCGACAGGATGGGTTCAGGTGTCACTGAAGTCCGGGCTTTTTTGATCCAGCTAATGACTTCCAGTAAAGTTGCATGGTGCACCCTTCTAACTGTGTGAAGCTGTGTTCTCCAGCCCTGCTTTCCATCAGTCCCTCACAAGTTTCTCGCTCATTCCAAACTTTTTTCTGCTGTTCAGTTACCGTTTTCAGAGATTCTTTCTGCAAGAGACATGCACAGTAGAGGGTGAAAAGACAGAGGTACAGAAGTATTAGTATTAGCAGATACTGACACACAAGCCTCGAGCTCCCTCTCGCAGCTGTCAGTGTGAAAATTTGAATATACAAGCCGCACCAGAGTATAAGTCGCAGGATATAAATATAGTCAGAAAAATATGGTATGCAGGAACCCCCGAAGTGGCCCAGAGAAAATAATTACATTACATACTGCACCTTACAATTTAGAGAAGGGTTCCTCGGTGGTCATCTGGTCATCTTTTCAATTGACAGCACTGGCCTGAAGCACTGGGAATAAATTCCAGTTCTATCAGTTGAAAATGGTTTCTGGACGGGAGCCGGAATGTCTTAATCGCAAAAACAGAGTCCAGACGAAACCTCCTCTACATTGAATCACTCCTAGACAAATTAAGTCACTGTCTCATTACTTAAGTACAAGTGCAAAGTTGTGGTACAAGAAATTATTTAAATAGGAGTTGGAAAAACTACTTAACTCAAGTAAGAATAATTGCAACTGTCTAGACGTAATATCTGATTTATGGCTTAAAGTTAATGTAATTGGAAGGAGCTGTGCGAGAAACACAAATGTTCAAATCATTTCATATTGTCAAAACAAAACCTTTGTCACCTGTAGACTTACTCACAGTGGAAAAGTCACCAAAATATTTACTCAAATAAGAGCACTGTTACTGTCAGATATATTACTGAAGACATGAATCCAAAAACTACTCTGAGAAGTGTGATTATTCTTGAAAGGTTACTCAAATAAATGTACGTACTACCCGAGATCTAGCTTGAGCGTTTGTTCAAGGTCAGTGGTTCAATTTCACTTTAACCAGAGAACTGTGTCCTGGGGCAACACACTGCACCCACCTTTACTATAAATGTGATGTGAATATTAATGGTCAGAGGTGAACTGAATACACAGACTCCCAGGGGATTCAGGATCATGGGAAATTAGGGCTGTTAAATTGACAAAACAACGTACAGTATATATCTGTTAAATGGTCAAAGTCTTCAAAATGTTACCTCTGCCAGGCAGCTTAAAACCATGAAAATACTACAGTGGTCCCTCGTTTATCGCGGGGGTTATGTTTTAAAAATAACCTGCGGTAGGTGAAATCTGCAAAGTAGTCTGCTTTATATTTTACAATTATTATATCTGTTTTAAGTCTGTAAAACCCCTCACCACACACTTTTCTTAGACAGGACAGTTATAACCCTTTTTGCATTCTTAAAACATATTGCTGCTGTCGTCCTTATGTTATTCTCCTCCTTCTTTATGTAACAAACCGAAGATTCATTCATTCAGTAATGGAGCTCTACAGTGCAGAGTCCTGCATGGGTCCATGTCTGGAGACCCACACCTGCGCAGTGCAACACCGCACCCGCCCGTTAACCCGAGATTATATCAAATTTTTACACTGCATATGCCACAGACTGAACCAAGACTAAACCAGAACTAACCCAGGACTCACTGTCAGGACGGGCTCGGAGGTGACTGCAGCAGAAAGAACCGACTCAGCTCCGCACCACCTCCACCTAAAAGAGGCAGTCGCCCTATCGCGTTTTGCTGACACCCTGCTCCACAGGCTTGGGGTTCTGTCTCTTAAGTCCAATATTAGTCCTGGTTTAATCCTGGTTTAGTCCTGGTGTAGTCCTGACCTGCCCATGTGTAATCACTGCAAGCATGAACGTTAAAACCCACCCGTTTTAGCAACTATTTGCCCGTATCCGACCCAGTGCAGGACTCTGCTACAGCCGCGTAACTTCTACCTTCCTTCAGTGTGTCCAGAAGTCCAACTTTTTGTCCGATGGTTAGCAGAACATTTCGTCAACATTGTGGCTTTTGTAAGGGAGAAAACTTGCAAATATACAACACTTCAGAATCACACTGCTAGAGATCGAACATTTATGTAAATTTGGCAGCTGAACACATTCTGTACTGTACAGGAGACACGGCACGGAGGAGATTGTCAATCAGGATGCAGGGGGAGGAACACAATGCGCATTCATACAAAAAAAAAAAAGCATTCCAAATTGCACACAAAACAAATCCACGAAACAGTGAGATCGCAAAAAGTGACCCGCGATAGAGTGAGGGACGACTGTATACAAACACAATGTTGGAATATTCTAACACTTTTCTTATCTGTTTCTTGCCATATTATTTCCTCATAAAAATGCATCGCTTTCAAAAACAGTTTCCTTACTTTGTTGATTGCATAGATTGCTGTGTAGTTAAATTCCCTTTACCAGTGCAGCCCCTCTGTGCAGCGCTCACATCGGTAATAGCATCAGGGAAAAAAGACTTCAGCTAAACTCAAAGCACGGATGGTAATGGCCTCCCTATCTTTTTCAATTACACAAACTGAACAAGGCAGCGGTGAAAAATTAGCCATGATGGTGTTTACTGCCTGAGAGAACACACTATTTCACACGAAGGATTACTCTGAGTCTAAATGAACCACATGGCACTTTCCTCTGACACAGTATTTATAAAGCTGCAGTACTCTGGAGGTTTGAACTGGAGCTCATCTGTCAGGCTCTAAGTGTGAGTACATACTGAGTAGATGGCTGAATGTCTCTTCCGCTCTCCACCCTTATTTTATTCTTCGTCTTATCAAAAAAAAATCTCACGGGCTAAAAAGATAAACATGGGAAATATAAAGAAAACTACTGAAAAATCATCTGTCTATCTATGCTAACTCAAAGCGCTTTACATCAAGGACCCACTCGCCCACATTCATACACCAGTGTACACCTACCCTGGGGGCAGAGTGCATTGCCCAAGGACACAACAGCAGCATTAATCAGGGGCAGGATGAGTGGATTTGAACGCTCTCAAAATGATGGTTTATGTTGAAAGTGCCAACTTTCGGATCAGTGGGCAAACTCTCTACCAACTGAGCTACTGTCACCTTCATCTCTCTATCTGTCCATTTATCTATGGGCCCGGTCAAGCAGAAGTAAACAGCAAGACGAAACATTTAAGTTAATGCATCTGATATAAAAATATATTCAACAGAGAGCATGTGTACTCTAGTTTATGAAACTGTTGACCTTTTTTCTGTACCATTTTTGGTTCTAAAGTTCTATACGTTTTAAACAGACCATGTATGAAACATGGAACAAAAATTATTTCCCAAATTTCAAAGACCTGCAAATCATGTAAATAAATGGATGTATTTCATCATATCTTGTTAGTCGATCTTTGAACTGTTGATGAAGGTACATGATTTTTCAAATAAAATGTATTTAAAATGATAAAAATTAGCTTGGAAGGACTGACATATTTTATACAAATAGTTACCTTTCATTTTGAAGTAATATTAAAGTATTCGGGGAAAAAAAAGATGACAAATTATGCAAAATCATGCACCTTCTACTTGCTTGCACAATTTTCCCTCTGTTACTTTTCCCTCCGTTACCATGACCTTTCTTAAAGGTTGTATAGAGGATTTTCCAAGGAACGAGAAATCCAGCGACTGTTTGTCCTTTTTCAAATCTTGCGCATGCGTGAAACCACCCCCTCTCCCCTACAGCTCCCTACGTAGAAACGCCTTCTCCCGCCTCCTCTTTACTCCAGAAACAGGTTTGTTTACAGCCGGTGCACTGCACATGACTTGTAAACAACTAACTACAGTGTTGGTTAGGCAAGGCGGAGAAGTGAGGAGCAGGGTGAAGAGCGGAGCAGGGAGAGAGGAGAGGAGAGAGGAGAGGGGAGCGGTGCATAATTACAAGGCTACTGCACCTCTATAATGCTATCATTGACAACTTGAAACTAAAAAAACTAAAAAAAAATCCTCCATACAACCTTTAATTTGTCTGCACAGAATGGGAATGGGACCAGAAGGAAAGCAGGTTAAAGAACAGGTACATTACTTCCATTAAATTTTCATTGAGGAGGAATTTGTGTTTTATTGTATTTTTTTCAATTTATTTAATTGATTTAGGGTGGTATTTAACTGTTCTATATGTAATTGCAGCTAGCAAATAAAAGGTACCTGCAGTGTCCAGCAGCAATGACAGTGATGCATCTTAGAAAGTTTCTCCGCAGTAAAATGGACATCCCAAACTCCTATCAGGTCAGAGACAATATGCTTACTTTCAAGTCCTTTCTCTGTATCGAAAAATATCAATGTGTTTATATTTTTCAGTTTAATTGTCGGCAATTATTATAATGGCACATTTTTAACAGGTGGATGTTATGTATGAAGATGAGCCTCTGAAAGATTACTACACATTAATGGACATAGCCTATATATACACATGGAGAAGGGTAAGAATCACTATTTTATGATATCCAAAATATTGTGCTATGTAATCAAATATTGCTTTATTTAATAATTAAACCTTTTTAAGTGCTATGGTATTCCAACCAATGGTGTTATTATTTGTGCTGTTCCTGATGTATTGAATAATTGAATAAATTCTAAATGTGTTCAAATAGGTATCAGTGTTATAATGCAGTCAAAGCTCTCAGTGAGAAATAACTTTTTAAAATTTCCACTAGTTCCTAAGTCTTTTTATTTTATTTTATTGTCATTGTCAATGAAGCTAGACCAAATTGTTAAGCAGTTTTTAAAAGTTTTAACTCGCCTCCACAGAATGGTCCGCTTCCCCTCAAGTATCGGGTCAGACCCAGCTGTAAGAAGATGAAGGTGAGTCACTCGGAGCAGGACGGGCAGAACAGCACCGGCAGATCGGGGCCAGAGAGTGACTCTGCCAGCGACAAAGCGCGTAGTCCCACCGGGGCTCCGTCCACGTCCTCTTCTCTGCCGAGTCCCGCTACAGCGACGCAGTCTCCGCGTCCCCTGCAGACCACGCACGGCAATAACAACGTGAACGGGACGTCAATAACTGCACCACCCGCCCCCAGCCGCTCTTTTACACAGTTTCCCAGCGGGAACAGCGGCGCCAACAAACCGAGGAAGGTTGCACTGAACGGATCGTCTTCTGGATGACTCCCCGAAGAGTCGTCGCCTAATCCAGTTTATAATTTTATGCCAACCTATACAGCGGTGTAGACAACGATGTTCTTTTTTCCCCCCTCAATTTGTTGTTAATATATTATCACATCTTAAAGGTTGTATAGAGGATTTTCCAAGGAACGAGAAATCCAGTGACTGTTTGTCCTTTTTCAAATGTTGCGCATGCGTGAAACCCCCCCCCCCCCTCCCCTACAGCTCCCTACGTAGAAACGCCTCCTCCCGCCTCCTCCTTACGCCAGAAACAGGTTTGTTTTACAGCCGGTGCTGCACATGACTTGTAAACAACTAACTACAGTGTTGGTTAGGCAAGACGGAGAAGTGAGGAGCGGGGGGAGCGGGTGCGCGGACAAAAAAAAAAAAAAAAGAAAAAAAATCAACGAAGTAAGATGCGCGCGAAACGGGAAATTAGCTGACATTTGTTTAACAGCTATAATGTTAATAACGTGGTTATGTGTCGGCTTTTGGTCTAAGCGTCTCTCGACCAGTGGCAATGTAATGGCAAACACACACACACGTTAAATACAACACAAATCTTAGCATGATACTTGTAATGTTAATCAACAGTTACATGAACAGAGCAAGAATGAAAGGCAAAATAGATGGCCATAGCACCTGATATCGGCGTCTGCATCACATGATGACCGCTGATCTGCCCTCAGACTCTCATCCTCACAAAACACGATCTTTGGGGAGACTGCCGTTGCCAGGAGATTACCATGGCAACAAGTAACAACAACACAAGGCTTTAGCCTTTAACTTCTTAGGTTCTTTTTAAAGACAATGTATATAAGAAGACATAATGAACATCATTGGCTTAACAAACCGACGCAAACCGAGCTGCACGTCTTCATCTGGATCTGTCAACCGCTTCAGACTGCGTGGGGAAATTAGTCCAAAATAAGTAATAAACAATGAGTCAACGACAAATAATTCAAGGTAAGAAACACTGCGTTTGATTGGCACCCCAAAGTTAACTATTGGTCCAGTAGGCTAACTAACAAAAAGGCTAGCAACTGGCATAAATGTTGGGTATAATTTACTTCACGTTAGCTGTTTCAGTAATATATTCATAGATTAGATAATTAATACACAAAATTGCAGGAATGTAGTAGTGTAATGCATTACAGTGAAAACTGTAGGCTAATAAAATTAGTTACTGTCAAATACGTGGATACTTGTGACACCAGCAACAATGCCTGGGAAGAGAGCGTAACATTCCTCTGCAAATATAGCGTTAAGCTTAAACAAGGAGCTCACAGAATGCGCTAAAAAGGAGGAAAACCCCTAGACATTATTTATGCTGTCGTGGTGCTACCTCCAAGTCATACGCAGATTATCGCAACATAGTGCAGATGTTACCTATTGTGTAGTTAGCCAGTCCTGTTTTTGAGGTTATACCATTTGAACAGCTCATTTGTTGTTTACCTCTTTCAATGTCTTTAATAGGTTATGACAGCATTTATGTAATGCATAAAATACTTAGATAATAATATGTCATGTAAACTACTTTCATGAGGTAGTACCTAGTTTTACTGGCAGTACATCATATTATACATTTTTGACCAATTCATTTATTCATTGCTTTCTTGTGTTGTAGTTTTCGAACAGTACCAGAGATCCCGAATGCAGTTTGTTCAGACTGTGGCTGATCTTGCAAACCGGCCACAAAACATAGAAACTCTGCAAAATATGGGTAAGGAACATTCAAACAAAGCTTAAATATAAACATAGGTATTATTTAAATAATTTATTTTAGGATCTTATTTCCCAACAGGTGTGATGTCCTTGCTACGCCCACTTATGCTGGATGTAGTACCTAGTATCCAGCAGACTGCAGCCTTGGCTCTCGGCCGCCTGGCAGACCACAATAATGACCTGGCTGAAGCTGTGGTGAAAGCAGACATCCTCCCCCAACTTGTCAACTCTCTTGATTCACAGAATGTTAGTATGCACTTTTTTTTGCATGTCATGGGTATAAGACCAACCAATCAATGATAAAAAAAAAAAAAGAGAGAGAAATCTAGGGCCCTGGTGCATTTAGACTACATTGCTTTTAAATTAGAAAACTCAACGGTGTCTTGGTTTTCTACAGCGGTTTTACAAAAAGGCAGCAGCGTTTGTGTGCTGCGGGCTGTAGCCAAACACTCTCCTGAGCTGGCTGAGGCTGTGGTGTTGTCTGGAGGAGCCAAAGCTCTGGTGCTCTGCCTCGAGGACTTTGACCCCGGGGTGAAGGAGGCAGCTGCCTGGGCTCTGGGCTGCATCGCACGGCACAATGCATGTAAGACATTGTGATGAACAACTAATGAAGTGTATGTAGTATGATTTTGTAACACGTGTATCCTGTGCAGCTCTATCTCAAGCCGTCGTGGATGCAGGTGCAGCTCCTCTGCTGGTCTTGTCTCTCCAGGAGCCTGAAATAGCCCTGAAACGTATCGCTGCCTCTACACTGAGTGACATCTGCAAACACACACCACAACTGGCCCATACAGTGGTGGACACTGGGGCTATTGCACATTTGGCACAAATGATTCTAAATCCAGACGCCAAACTCAAGGTAGAGGTCAGGGCAAACACATTGTTGATGTATTTTATATACACTGATTTTATTTACTACCAGCTCAGTTTACCATTGAATTTGCCTTAAAGGTGGACACATTTAACATGTGCTGTATTGGATTTGACATAATTTTCAACCATAAAAAATACAACTACAATGTGAAAAATGTTTAAAAATCTTTCCACCTGAGTTTATTCTGTTTATGAATCCAGAGACAGGTGTTCTCAGCGTTGAGTCAGATCAGTAAGCACTCCCACAGTCTGGCTGAGATGGTGATCGAGGCGGAGATTTTCCCTGCAGCAATTGCCTGCCTTAAAGACCCAGACGAGTATGTGAGGAAAAACGTCACTACGCTTATGAGAGAGGTAGTCAAGCATACACCAGAGGTACAGCACATGACACACACTATATTACTGGATGCATACATAGACCTGAAAAGGTAATGTGCAGTGTTTATGTAACTTTCCAGCTGGCTCAGTTAATAGTGAACTATGGAAGTCTGGCAACTGTTATAGACTACTTGGGCGAATGCAGTGGACAGATGCGTCTGCCTGGGATCATGATGCTGGGATACATAGCAGCACACAATGAGAATCTAGCTATGGCTGTCATTCTTTCTAAGGTGCGTGTGTGTAAAATCTCCTAATCACCATAAGACCAGCGGCATCTAAAAGTGGAGGCATTCTTCGGGGTTTGGTATGTAGGTCATATAAACGGATTGAAACTTAAGTGCGTACCTGCCCTCTCCTCTAGGGGGTGCCTCAGCTTGCCTTATGCCTATCGGAGGAGCCTGAGCATCACATCAAAGCTGCAACAGTGTGGTCCATAAACCAGATTGGACAGCACACTCCAGAGCATGCCAAAGCAGTAGCTATGTGCAGCCTGCTCCCAAAACTATTGAAGCTCTACATGGACCCCAACAGCTCTGAGGACCTGCAGACCAAGGTAAGGCTGAGTGGTTATGATGTTACAAGATAAAAATGACAAATTACTGATATTTGATTCACTTATGTGCATCAGAGTAAGAAAGCACTGAAGAGCATCCTCCAAAAATGCACCTATCTTCCTGGTCTAGAGCCCCTACTCTATGATGCCCCCTCCAATATTCTCAAACATGTGGTTGGCCAATTCAGCAAGGTACAGTATAGAATAAACTCACCCTTTTCTGAATTTAGTTATATTTTCTGAATTATGAAGCCTGTTTTATGCCATACATTTTTCATTAGCCTCCTTGCAAATTATTAAATGGTAAATAAAATAAAATGTAAATTTTTTTCACTAGAACTATAGCCATTTTATCTTTCTAATCCCAAATCAGATTAAAATGACAACATCAGTTAAAATGAATAACCATAACATGAGAATAACCATCATAAAGTATATTATAGTATAAAATCTATACAAGTAAATAGTGTACAAATAAATTAAAAAATAATATATATTTTTTCAGTTTTCTTACCCTTCTCTTCTCCTGTGGTCTCTCAGATCCTGCCTCATGACAGTAAAGCGCGGCGGCTCTTTGTCACCAGTGGAGGACTGAAGAAAGTGCAGGAGATTGATGCAGAGCCCGGGTCAGTTCTACAGGACCACATCAACGCCATTAACAGCTGCTTCCCAGAAGAGATAGTCAGGTGTGTGCACATGTTACTGTTTTAAAATGACATTACTTCAAAATATAAAATAATATATGGAATTTAGTTGTGTTTTTATATGAAGGCTTGTTTTTCTGTTTGCAGATACTACTCTCCTGGATACTCAGAGGCATTACTGGAGCGTCTAGAAAACTATCAACCAGCCTGATTGTACGTGGTGTATTGCTATCACTCCCCTATTTCGAGTATCACGTAATTACGTGAAAAGTTTCACGTGAATAACGTGAAATTATCACGTTATTTCATGATATGAAATTATCACGTTATTTCGTGATGTGGTATTTTCACGTTTATCACGTTATAACGTGATACGAAATTATCACGTTATAACGTGATACGAAATTATCACGTTATTACGTGATACGAAATTATCATCACGTTATTTACGTGATACGCATTTATCACGTTATTACATGTTATCACGTTATTACATGATATTTTCACGTTATAACGTGAAAACGTCAAGTATGGTTTTACGTGATTTCATTAGAAGATCAGCCACAGCCAAACCACGCGCTTCCCTCGGTCCAGTCAACTCCAGCCTGAGCATGGCCCACGCTGAAAATGTGGATTCTCCACTCTTGAGATTACTTCGGGCTCGTGTTGTCTCCTTCGCATGAAGCAAGATCGTGTAAGTGTATTTTACTGTTTCGTCCCCAAGTTGTGTTGTCGTACGGTAGCAGAATGCTTCTGTAAGCAACTGCTGAATATTAGAGCTGGAGCGAGTTGTTCGCTGTGGGTAGAGCTGCTAAAAAGTACCTAGT